CCCCTGTTTTGTGGGAAAAAAGTGCGTCTTATGGTGCGAAAAATACAGTAACTGTTTGCTGTGCATTATATGTGGTAGTTTAAATGTGATTTGCTGTTGATTGTATATACAGAATCAAGCAATCGCTTTTGATAAGAGTAATTCTGAAGGACATGGGTGTCTTTAACTTGAGCAATTCTGTATGTGTCTAGTGAGAACTGATTTGCCTGCAGTATGTGTTTGCATCGGATACACTTATAAATCACGTGACAACAGACACATTACCTGTGCATAATTTCTCAAGTTAGGGCTGTTCTAAACATCCATTAGATATGAACTCTGCCCTTCTGCTTACAAAAGAGCTTCTGTGTTCAATAACTTGTGAACTAAAACAAAGATCAATAAATTCTACATCTAATTGATAGCCTCAATTAGAGTACACCTAATTAATGAATTGGGCTTGTTACTTCACATTTAGGTGAGTTCCACCGATTTAATGGATCATTTCTTGATGGGAGGAGCAATTGGATTTAGCCCAGTGTCACCATATCAGTTAACATTAGAAATTAAGTTAGGCCCGAACAAAGCAAAACACTGAACTATAGGGGTAATTATTACCCTTGTTTTTAATGGTGGGTGCTGCTATCTTGCATCTTTGATGTTTGCTATCTTTGATGTTAAAATGTAATAACTTAAGTTGGACTCATCTGGTTATGTGATTTCCTCTGAAATATTTTTGTTTCCACAGGCATTGAAAACATGGCTGAATATAGTGGCACAGAATCTCATTTGAAAATTAGAAAGTATGGATATGCCCAAGCTAGATTCTAAAAATTAAAAAGGAATTAGGTTTCACATTTACAGTTCAGAACCTGGAGAAACTTTGTTTCTTCCCCCCTTCCCTTTTCTAAACGAAGTAAAAAAATGTGCTAGGGTGTCCTTTTAAGTTTTTTGTATGACTGTATTGGCAGGATTTTATATACTTGACGTAAACAAGACAGGAATACAGTGGTTATGGAGTGTGACTGCCCCTTTCTGGTGATTTTTTTTAAAAGGAGGGGGAATCTGTGCAGTATGTGCCCCGAGTGAGTATGGGGATGAGAGAAGAGAATTTTTTAAAAAAAACATATTGGAGATAAAGAGTAATATGCCATTGATATGAATATAATGACCACAGTCCTATTGGTTATAGAGATACGTTCTGACCCAGCATAGGACAATAGATTTATAGATTTATTTTGTTTATTTATTTAAAATATTTGTATCCCATCTTTCTCCTATAAAAGGACTCAAGGCAGCTTACATCATTCAAAACACAGTATTAGAAGCTAAAATGTTATTCAAATATTAAAATTGTTCAAATATTAAAAAAGAATTAATAACATATTTAAATGTTAGGTAAAAGTATTACTGAAGACAGATTTAGAAGCAACAAACTACGCTCCATCCCATTTTAAAACCTCTTGTAGACAGTCAGTCACTAAGGAAAAGCCTGCCTGAAGAGAGGAAAGTCCTTTCCTGCTTATGGGGGGACAGCAAAAATGGGCTCAGTCTGGGTTCCCATGGGAGGCAGTTCCAGAGTCTGGGAGCAGTGACAGAGAAGGTCTTCTTCTGTGCCCCCCCACTAAGTGCACCTGTGAGGATGGTGGGACCAAGAGAAAGGCCTCCCCTGGTTGGTGATCTTAAAACCTGGACTAGCTCATAAAGGGATATGTGATTTTTGAGATAGCTTGGATCCAAACCAGCAATTTGAATTGAGCCTAGAAAGAGATTGGCAGCCAGGGGAGCTGCTGTCATACCAATGGCTGACTCAAATGCCAGCCAATAAACGTGCCCCAGCTGGTGTGCTAAGGGATAATAAGGGTGTTAGAATATGGGAGCCCACAGGTACTCCAGTTGCTGTGTGGATTCCTCCTGCCATTGGTGGATGGTTGAGAGTTATAATGAGACGGATCCTGTATTCTTTCTCACACAGAAATTTTTACGAAAGCATGGTTGGTTTGCTGTTGCAAAATTGTCCTTTTTTTGTGCCCATAGAGATCTATATTTGAAATTTGCAAGTAGACATGCTTTAAACAACCAAAACTCCTCTGTAGGTATTTCCTTTTAGGAGTATATTCAGGGATAAACCTATGGCCAGCATAGATTTGGGATTTTTCTCCAAGCTAAATAATTTTGTTTGGCGTATTTAAAATGTTGCTATATTTGAAACTTTTAAAGTTGTTTGCCTTGCTAAAAGGGCTTCTAGCTGCTGAAAACAATTGATAGCCCTTATGGAATAATGGAATTTAATTATGAGTTTTTCTGGTTTGTTAACCTCAGATGTGGTTACTTTTCAATGTCGGATTTCACGCTAATGTTTTACACAAAATTAAGAAAATACTATATTATGATAGCTTTAGAAACAATTTAAACAAACAAATATATAGGCATTCAAAACTCATCAATGATTTTTTATTTTTTTCAATTCAATTTTTATCAGTTTTTTATAAATTTACATATTCATATCTGTATCCCATGGCTTTTTGTGTTTATAATTTGAATATTCAACTAAAACCAAGTCATATAATCTGTATAATGTGCTAATGAATTACTATTGCCCTAAGGTGGGACTAATTGGTTTCCTCCCCCAGTAGAAGTCTTTGTTTTAAAATTTCAAATATTATATATAAAACTTAAGCAATAAAGCAATAGATAAATAGACACATGGACACAGAGACAAATAAGATGTAGCCTTGGAAGTTAATAGTTCTTCCTTAGTTAATTGAGCACTCTATCATATAGTTTGCAAGAGGCTGATTTTACTATTACCAACCTACTGTAATCATAGCCATTAGATATCAAAGTAACATTCTCTGTCAGGTATGAGAATAGAGCAGTGAAAAATGAATCATCCTCAGAATTCAGTTTATTACCCCAAGATTCTGGTTCCAAAGTGCTTTGACAATGTGTGTCAGTAGCTGAAATCCTGTTGCTTAGTCCAGTGTGTTGCAGCTAGAGTAGGCTCACTGAATCAGAGGGGATTTGGTGAGTCAACTCCTGTATAAATTCCACTGATTCTGTGGACTTACTTTAGCTATGATTTTCTACTGGAGTTCAGCTAATGAGTCTTCCCCACAACCTTTAGTGGGAAAGTGAGGCCTTCTATTAAAAATATAATTCAGATGAATACTTTGTTTATTAGTAAAAATATGAATAATTTGCTTCCATGCCTGACAGGGCTCAAAAAGCAGTACCAACTTTATGACAAAGTAATAAAATTATGATTATCTGTTGCTTTGTAATCCGTTGCAATGCATATTTTTTGTGAGACTAAATGATTATTATTTTTAGTTAGTTTTTTAATGGCACCTCAGTCATTGACAGGAAATGTGATGAAAATATATGAATAAATAAAATCTGTTTCACAGAGTACAACCTTGTGAAATGTTTCACCCTGTGGGAGAGAAAAGGCCCAGAATAGGAGAATTTGAATAATGTAGTCACAGGGCACCTGTTTTGGTTGCTGAATATAAATAAAAATATATTTGTTAAGAAACAGTGCAATTAAGCTATTTCACATAGAGAAATGTGGAACTGCATTAACCCTTCTGATGTATCACCTGAGTGTTTTGTTAACAAAAATGTGTGGTTAATGACAAAGCCATCCTGTAGTTTTGAGGAGATGGACATGAAATATTTATTGTTTTGTTGCACTCACAGCTTCACCTTTTTCAGTGCAGTGACAATTGGCATGCATCTGAAAAAAATATTCTGTAATGCTGATGTCTTTCCATATAGTTTCCACCCCCTCCCACATTTCTGTATTGCTGCTATTGTTCACCTGCCTACGCTGGTGATGTTGCTGTCCTTGGTGCTACTGAGCATGTGCTTCTTGTGTTCTTTATTTAGCTTGTTTTTCTCTGTAAGGTACAACGTTATTGGAGAATTGTATTGGTTAATTCATTAGCAATGTGAGAACATTTTTTAAAAGTTTCAGAATTGTATATAGAAGATAAAGAAAGGAAGAAGGAAAAAAAATCGATCCTTATTGTAATGTGTTGTATCACAAATGTAAAATGGACATTTTGAATTATTTATAAAAGCTATAGTAACTTCATAAATTTATAAAATCTCTGAAGAGAAATGTACATAGATTCAGAGCTGGAAGGAAATGTTCTGTTGTAAAGACTTTTATACACACTTAAAAACAACAAATCTGCTTGTTTTCATATTTTCAAAAATTCATATTATCTTTTCCCATGACAATACAGCATTGCTTTGCTTAGTACAGTTTCTTTTGATAAGTGGCTTGACAAATAAATTTATGAAGATATTCAAATGAAACTACTTGATTTGTGTCCAGTTGGTAGAAACATGAATTGCCATTCATAGTTGAGGGCAGCAATATTCCTGCATAATCCCGTCTCTCAGTCTCTGAGATCCTTGGGGAAAGACCTTCTCTCTTGGTCCCATTGCCATCACCGGCACATTACTGGGGACCTGAGAGAGGGAGTATTCAGTGGCTGCTTTCACTCTGTGGAGTTCCCTGACTCACAAGGCTCGATTGCCCTCCTTACAGTCCTTCCACTGGCAGGTGAAAACCTTCCTTTTTAAGTTGGCTTTTAACCTCAAAACGTTTCAGGATTGTCGTTTTTAGAAATGGATACAACAAATTTTATCAGTATTTTTTTTTTAAAAAGCAGTCATTTTAAATTGATTTTAAATGAATGGTGTTTTCAACATTTTCTTGGTTTGTTTTAAGGATAATGCCCAAATTTATTGTGATTTTATCCATTTAAATTTTTTTTCATGCATTCCTTTATTGTAAGAAAGGCAGGATATATTGTTAATGAGGATGATGATGTAATGGAAGAGGTTTTTTCATCACCTCTTTTCTTTATGCTGCAGCATTGTGGCTAGGGCACTTTTCTGTTATTTCTAATGCACTGTGATGTGGTAGGTTTTCCTCTTTTCAAACTGTAGTACTCCCCACTTTAACAAACTAAATAATTTTTTTAAAAAAATTTCTTTTCTTTTAGCTGTCTCCATAATGAGGTACAGTGCGTCATCATTTGGATTTGCTGTAAGTAATGGCACAGTAAATTCTCTCAGATCAGACCCACTTTTCTGTTCTATGGATGTGATGGAGATCACCATTTCACAATGGAAGAATGTTGAGTTTATGGAGGAATGACAAATGAAGTTGATGAGTGATGTCTTGCACGAGAAACATGCCCATTTGCATATATTATCCCTTCTTTAGTGCCATAAAGGAAAGACACTGGAGATGAACTCATTTTCCCCATTGTAGTCTGTTCCTTCATGCATGGTCCAAAGTAGTGCAAAGGCCCAAATCCTATTTATGTAAGATTTGCACAACTGGGTAATTGACAGGGTGCCGGACTGTACCCAGTTGCATAACTGAGATGCACCCCAACACCTCATTCAGGTACCTGTACCAACTTACATGAATATCAATAGGATTCTGGTCAAAGTAACAGACCTGTTGTTGGTTCTACATATATTCAGAATTGAGAATACATTCAAAAGTTTTGTACATCGTGTCCCTAAAACTATCCCACGTCCTGGTGATATGGCTCATGTGAATCCAAGACAGTAGTTTTATCAAATGATAGAATAATCTACACCACTGTTTCTTTTCATATCTTGTAGTAAACCTCTCTCTTCTCCCTTTTAAAGGACTCTCTTAAAAATAGGCTTACACATTCATAGCAGAAGGGTGGCAGAGCATTATTAATTCCCTTAGTTGATCTGTAGTGTTTTCTATCTGTGAAATGAAGGCTCAGCTCATTTTAATGAATGCAGATTCTTGCTTTAATGTATATGATTTATACCAAATGAATGTATAATCTTGTAGTATAATTAGTAGTTTTAGTGAAGTGTGCATAGTTTTCCTTAATAGCTGCTGCCCCATCTCAATCACTTATGTATCTTTTCCAGTTTGATGCCACTTTGGATGTGTTATCGTCAGTGATAGTCCTGTGGCGCTACAGCAATGCAGCTGCTGTACATTCAGCACACAGAGAATACATGTGAGTAGGAACGATTATTTTTACCTTCAATTAAAGGTTAATAGCATGGTTACTCCTCTCCTCCAGCATATTTTTTGTATCTCTCCCTCACCTCTGCAATTTCCTAATAACTGGTTTTCCTGGCACTGTATGTGTTCAAAAACGCTATATATAATAAAAGTCCTTCAAAAAGTGATCAACAAAAATCTTGGATGAGTTAATACTTATTTTAATTTTTTAAAATATTGCAATTGATGGGATTTTAAGTTCAAACTTCTCAGATAGTCTACTCTTGTTGATTTATATACCAGACTGAGTGAGCCTCAGAAGTGACAAATGAAAGGAAAACATGATTCTGTACAGTTAGCTGCAGTTCTCCAGAATATCATACTTTTGTTTTCCCCCTCTCTCAATAGTAGTATTTGGCATATGACACCTGTTATGTGGGGCCCCAAGTTTTGAGTCAATATTTAACTGTACCAGAGCTATTGTCCTTGGCCTATTGTCCTCTGGAAAGCCTCTTAACAGGTTTACATCCTGCTTTTAATGTTCTACCTTAAAAGAACAGCTTTCTGTCTTATTCTAACCCTTCCTCACAGGATTGTTTTGATGAGAAATTGGGAAAGAAGACAGCTATTGTATGTTGCCTAGAGCTTGCTGGAGGAACAGTGTGACATACGTACTCATAATATATATGAATGGAACATTTTCTGTTTACCTACATCATCAAACTAATTACTTCTGCTTAATAGTCATAAGCTCAGTGATGGCCCTCTGTACTCTGCTAACATAAATATTAAATATTTTAATTTAAAAAATTTAACAAATTAGCAGTATAAAACATACATCACTGATAGAGATTGAAGGGTAAAAGGAATGTACCAAAGACTGATGTACTGATTCAACAACCCATTGTGTGTGTTTAGTAAGTACGTACATCTTGGCTTCAGACAGCTGAAGGTATTTTTTACCATAGTGAGTGCAGGGAAGAAATATTTCTGCCATACAGAACAGGGTGAATGAGCTGAAGTCCTCAATTTTTCCCATTTGCTTTAGATCATATTTTCAATTGCTTTAGAACACATGAGCAGGGATATGCATCTTACCTTTCTTAGTTTGATAGTTGGATAAATACATTAGGAAAATTGTATAAAGAAAGATGCTTAACGTGTTGAGAATTTTGATTATAATGTGTATTCTCATAACATCAGCAGAGTAAGGAGATATTGGTTAGCAGAGATACTTATGACACTATGACAGAGAGAGAGTAAAACCAACAACTTAGTCTATTTACATATATGCATGGAGAATAGACATTCCTCTGGCAGCATAACATGACATGAAGCTACGACACACAGCATAGGAAAAAGTGAGCTGACTTACAGCAGATACAGACGTTCATTTTATACATGACTTAGGTACAATTCTGTAACCAATCAGAAAATACATTACTTCATTTTCTGTTACACAAAGTTTCATCATGTACACAGTTGTACAACGTTAAGTCTTAATCCTTGATACCCACACCTGAATGCAATCAGTACAGTGACTTAGGTAAAATCAGCCATTTTACATTTAGCTTTACAACATTAATATTTAATACATTTTCATATCAAAATCTCAACATAATGCTGATATGTCAGGGTGACATTCTGCCCAATCTGGTGGTGATTATGTCTTTAGCCCAAACTTTGACTGTGGACATCATATTTATTTGCAGTAAATATTAATCAAGGAATATATAAGGATATGGTACTGCCAGAAATTAAGCATTTTAAACATTTTTTTTATTTCAGTAGAAATGTGAAGTACATTTAGTTCTCATGAGGGAGTTTTGGCTGAGATAATTTTAGATATTGCTTTATATATAAAAACCCTAATGTTTAGTTTTGTTTTTAAAAAATGATTGGTTTTCTGTTACAAGAAGAGAACAAGGCCCTTTTGGCTGGCAGTTTTGACAGCCAAGCTGTGAAAGAACTACATCTAACAAGCCTACCAGCTAGTTATTTGACTGAAATTGACAATCTTGTTTTATTCAGCATAGTGTCATCACAGTTCAGTGAATATTCTAATTAACTTTGCAGAGAGCTGCTAAATTTGGTTCCAACTCCATGGAAAAGACATCTTGCTAAATACAGTGCATAAGAGGAGAAAGGCTGCATGATAGCTGTTTACTGGCAAGTTTGGATGAAAACATTTGTACAGATTGCATTTGCATGCACCACTAGCTTTTTCTTAATCCTTAATTCTGTTGCCACACCTCTGCTGCTCTCAGAGCAGATTGAATTTAGAGCAGCAATTACTCAGGGTTTTATTACATCCCCAGTTAGAGACATATTGTTGTCACTATATTCCATTTGCCGGAAAGCCAATGGGATGACAATTAGATGAGGGAAAGCTTTGCAGTGGATGTTTTAGAGCTGCTAAAATTATATAAAATATATCTAGCTCTTTAGCTAGACTAGACGGAGAAACTTACTGTAGCACAACATTTGTAATAAAATTGTGCTACAAGAGCTACACAGTGGTTAACATTATTTGCAAAGCTAACGATGGCTGGAGAAGCACTGATGATAGAAAAGCCCAAGGCTAGGCTTATGAAGAGAAGCAGGCTGTGTTACATAGTGTTCCAGCTCCATCCTTTTGCTCTCTGTAATCCAGTGGTAGGCAAAGTGTAAACTGTAAAATACCTGCCAACTCCAGGGCTTCAAATGTGCCCCCCCCAAGTATTCCTGGGCATGTCAGCCCAGCAAATCCTGCTCCCAAAGTAAAACATTAAAAAAAAAGTTTGCTCAGAAAGTCTTCTTATGCCCTCCTCTCACATTTCTCTTTCTAAAATTTGCCACTAGAAGGCATGAGGAGAATTACTCAGTTTTTAAAAATGTTCTCTTCCACTGCATGGTTCAGTTTGGTTCAGAGGTCATCAATCAGTTGAATAGTGCTGCTGGGGTCCGACTTGCTTTGTTGTTTTCAGTCCATATCTTGATGTCTGGGGCTATGTAGGCATAATGGAACCACTGAATTGCTCTTCTCTCTTGTTGCTGCTGCTGTTCTGCCTTATTAAACCTATTGATTTATACAGAAGTAAAACTTAAATCTGGTGAATCAGGTTTAAATGAGGTAGCATAATGGAATGAATTTGACCTTCAGATATATATATATATTTTGGACTTATATACCGCCCTATAGCGCTACAAGCACTCTCCGGGCGGTTTACAATTTTAATTATACAGGCTACACATTGCCCCCCCCCAGCAAGCTGGGTACTCATTTTACCGACCTCGGAAGGATGGAAGGCTGAGTCAACCTTGAGCCGGCTACCTGGGATTTGAACCCCAGGTCGTGAGCACAGTTTTAGCTGCAATACAGCGTTTTAACCACTGCACCACGAGTAATTAGAGTAATTGTTTAGAGTAATTGTTTCTTGTTTAGAGTAATTGTTTCTTGTTTATGTTTACTAAAGAAAGGAGAAAAATTCATTAAGTTGTTATACTTATTTTTAAATAAATAATTTTGAAAACTTGCAGTTGTAGCCATGCTCCTTAGGATTGCCAACCCTGCTGAAAAACAGTCATCAGCCTTGGCAGAGTTGCCTACTCTGTTGTAGACCCCACTGGACTACTTGCAGGCTTTATAGATGTCTCCACATCCCTATGGTCATGGAAATCACAGCTGTGCTCTTGGTTCTACATCAGGGTTCTGTTTGCTCAAGCAAAAAAAATGTTGTATATGATCCCCAAAATCTGACATCTCACCTCAGAGCTTCCTTCTGGAACCACCAATCATTATTTTGAAGGAGATGACTTTTAATTTCGACTGCTTCAAATTCTGAGAAGGCCAAAGGAGCAGTTGATTACTTTGGTGAGTGCAGTGATATGTGGATAGGAACTACATGCTTAAAAGGGTGTTGTAAACACTCCCACTTAAGGTTCCCATTGGTTGAAATTAGAGATGGGCACGAACCACCAATTTGGCAATTTTTGATGGTTCAGTTAATAGCCGAACAGATGTCCGGCACTTCAAAGCCCCATCGACTTTGGCAGGCACGCATTCAGGCAGCAGCCTGGCTTCCTTCCACCACCACCTCTGTGTGCTGCTTCTGAGTAGATGTTAAACAGCATGGGGGACAATATCAAGCCCTGAGGAATTTCATGACATAAACACCATGGGACAGAGCAACTGTCCCCCAGCACCACCCTCTGGACACGGTCAGCCAGGAAGGAGCGGAACCACCATAAAGTGGTGCCCCCAACTCCCAACCCAGCCAGCCTATCCAGAAGGACACCATGGTCGATGGCGTTGAAAGCCGCTGAGAGGTCCAGGAGTATCAACAGGGTCACATTTCCCCTGTCTCTCTCCCGGCAAAGGTCTGAAACCCAATTGAAATGGATCCAGAAAATCCGTTTCATCCAGCAGCACCTGGAGTTGCCCGGCCACAACCTGCTCCAACACTTTGCCCAAATAAGGGAGGTTCGCCACTGGTTGGTAGTTAACCACCAGCCTTGGGTCCAGGTTAGGCTTTTTAAAGAGTGGATGAATTAATGTCTCTTTCAAGAGTGGCTGAATTACCACCTCCCTCTCTCAAAGAGGCGTTCATGGCCTCCTGGACCCAGGTGTGAACCCAATGGCAGATCTTCCAATTAGCCAAGATAGGCAAGGGTCGAGCGGAGTGGTGGTAGAACGAACAGATCCAAGCACCCTGTCCACATCTTCAGGGCTCAATAATTGAAAGTCATCCATTAATACTTGACCTAAGCACGGCACACTGCACACATCCTCTGATTCTGCAGTAACGGTGGAGTCCAACCCAGTGCAAATCTGAGCAATTGGACTCCCAGTGGGATTTCCTCCACCTGCTCTCCAGCCATCTCCCCTCTCGCTTCATCACCTGCAGTTCATATGTATACCAAGGAGCTGTCTGGGCTCTGTGTGCAGGGAGAGGGCGCTTAGGCGCAATTGTGTCAACCACCCAGGTCATCTCCTTATTCCATAGGGTAACCTGAG